CTGCACAGATCCGAATTTTAAGTTATTACAGTAAGCTTCCTTTTCTGTACTACTAATGATATTCAGGTATTATGTAGTGCATCAGTGTGTTCGTTGTGAGAAAATACTCAGGCTAGTTGCAAACGTGTTTTAATGGCGCCTCCAAGCTCTATCAATCGCTATAATAGAAGAGTTTTTTGGAGTCAAGATGAGAACACAACTTTTATTTTTATTTTTATACGTCCCTATGATTCATTTTCAAATACTCTATGAACACTGTTTCCCCAATAAAATGCAATGAAGTACAGGATTGTTCATAATTCTTCCAAGGCTAAATTTCATTTGCCCATTTCACCGACTTTGACTATAATTGCCTAGGAAACCAGCTAAGCAGGCAGTATCTCTATGATATTTGAGCACTTTAAGTAAGTGAATTTCTATCGCGTGATATTTCTCAAACTTTTCTGGTTTTTTGTTGTTGATCAGCATACATCATATTCTTGGTAAAATCCAATAACGTCCTGTCGGTTTACTTATTGAAACAGAACAATTTATGCCACTTTTGCCGGCAAAAAATTCTTTTGCTTAAAAAAATAGACACATGTTCATGTGTAGATTGTTAACTACATTTTGCTTGACGAAGATTTATCATGCAACATCAGTGACGGTGCCATTCAAAGTACCGTTCTAGAAAACCTACGCTTTGATTTTCAAATTAAAGTATATGGATATAAATTAAACTAAATTGACAATTCTAATATATTTTTAACGGTCTTCTTTTAATTTGGCTGACACGCTCTCGCTCTTTTTTCCAGCCAAATAATTGCATAACCGATCAACAACATTTTTCAGCATTTGATCATGCATTCAGAGGTGCCTAATTACCGTGGGCTTTATCCAACTTGACGTAACTGCCCCATTTGAATAACGCCTTTCATTCGTATCTTCTTAATGAACCGCATGTGCCTAATGATTTCTGTCTTTGCGTCTGAATAACGTCGCGAACTGTTTTAAATTCTTTGTATGCTCCTTCCGTTGATTTAGTTCTATCTTTACTTGATATGCGTTTTTAGTTTCATTTGTACATTTTTTATATTTCCGCCCATGTAACAATACTACTCCGCAGGTGAACGAGCAATCCCAATCCAAGTGTATGCTATCAACAAACTATCTTTTACACTTAGGGAAATGTACGAAATTTGAAAATTTGATTTTGTTCAGAAACTTGGCTATATGCCGGCATTCACAAATCTCTTGTAGATTCGTCTGTCTTCGCCTTATCTACTCCAAGATATATATTTAAGCATGAAAAATGCTGAAACGCCATCACTTTAAAAAGGCAAGAAATTACGAACCGAACGGTATACTCTAAACCGTGTTGAACGCATAATTTTCTCATCTCATTCTAGGCATTTTGTTATTCCAAACAGGACATGACATGCAAGACAATTTGTCTACTACGTTTCTGCTTTGACGACGACTTTCAGCGTCTCTGCAGGGTTGCTGACAATGTGCTCATTAAATATGAACATTTCAAGTATTGCATTAATGTTGTTAATAGACCGCAAACCCCATGCTCTCAGGGTTGCTGTTGTTTAGCTCAGATAGCCTTATGTATGTATGAACAGAACTACCTTTCATCTACTTTATTGTGTCTGTTCTTTTTACAGAATTTCTCAGTCAATTGTCTTTATTTTCAAGAATATGCATCTACGCGTCGGGACGCTGCGACACTGCTGCCGCCCAAGACAATGAAATTGCAAAAACCAATTGTTCCCGATGAACGGATATTCGAGGAAAATACCGGATGGTAAACTTCTCCATCCATGCTCCAAATTAAGTCGCTTTAAGGTAGATCGATTGAGTCTTATCTCGTCTCCCCTTTCTATTGAAAACGCTGAAAGTGAACATCAGTCCGTACTGCCGACGGACAGTTCATCCAGGCATTTTGCAATAATTGTCATGTGACGCTATGTTTAGGATGCAATTATTCGTCATCTTTGCAGCGCAGGCGCAAACCTTCAATTTAATTTAATTCAAGTTTAGGACTAGAGCATGAAATTTAACAATGCAACTGACATGTTCGGGAAGTGGGTCAGAGCGCAGGTCTTGGGAAACTTATTATTCTAACAGCGTTTATTATATTTGATTATTTCCACTGCGTTCATTTTTCTTACACGATTTCTTTGCATGTCTATTTTATTATGCAAATCATCGACATTTCGAGTCAAACTCGAACCATTGTCACAGTAGAGTAATATAAACCGATCTGTAAGATCAAACTGTTAAAGTTTCTATATCATAAAAGTCATGTCTAAAAGTTTGTCAAAAGTTAATCTCTGTGTTGCGGGTCAAAATTATAGGTAAATTCGCACCCAAAATTAAATCAAATCAAAAATCATTCCTACTTAACGGAGTAAGTCATCTTCATGAACTTCTCGCCGTTGACACCAGGATCGTAACGCCAACAAGCCATTGACAGTGACTCTGTAAACCTCTGCCATAATCTCTGGATTATGACCTGATAGAGCAGTCTGTGCCGCTCAAGCACCCATCGTTTGCTTATGGGTTAACGGCAGGAAGGCGACATTAGTTCTCAGTTTTTTAATTTTATTTCTTCTACGGCCTAAAATTGCGATTAATCATTCATCTGTCAAATCAGTGAGTGACATTGCGAGTATGAAACGCATGCCTCGGCAAAACGATTTGGCATAGGTACAGCAATATAACGTACTGCTTGTACTGCAATGAACAATTTGCTGTTTACTTGTTTCAACGAAAACGGTTGGAGTGACTTAAAGTTCAAGAAGATTTGTTGAAAATTGAAAAATTTACGGGGCAGCTGGACTTGAATTTCAAAGTTCAAAGCTATACCACCACTTTCTGCACTGCGACATCTTCGTTATGCTCTCTGTGTTGCCAGAAAATGTGAACAGAAACGTTTGTTTGCATTCTCTCCCCAAAGATGGCAGTTCCGCAACTATCAGTTTTGGTTTGTTGCTTTTGGTTGGCGATGGTCGCATTAGATGGTAACCGATGATGGAGTTGAAGACCTTCTAATTGCCGCAGTTGGAGAAAACAGTCAAAGACCGCAGAAGAGTCTCAGAAATTCAGGAGAGGTTTAGCGCTTCATCAGTCGATTGCGATGGAACAGAAGAACGGGATGGCGAATTAACTTGTAACAAAACTTGAAAGCAGTGTATCTGTGAGAATTTTGACATCAAGGCATTTGCGTCAAAGACAACGGTCCTCCATCATCACTCCTACTGTCAGGAGGAAATGCACTCTGCAAAAGAAGACAGGTTCAATGGCTACCTAGAAACTGAAAAACGCCTTTAAGATGGATGGAGTCAAAAGAGTAATCTTATTCAAGAACGGCCAGAAGGAAGATGTGAAGTACTCTCGCCCAATTTGTCTGCTTTCCAAGGTCTACAAGCGATTCATTACGATCATCAGCAACGCACTACCATC